CATCGTAACTAATTTTAAAATGTGAAGCTTAAAGCTGCCTTCTTTTATTATAACAGATCTACAGAGCTTCCTCACACTAATCAATCACCCTGTATACTATTTTTAGCTCTCTAAATAAAATTTAAAAATTTAGTTCCCATTTATTTATTATGAAGACCATAAGGTTTGTATTTAGCTGTTTAGAATAAAAAAGTAAAAATATGTATTTTTTTGGCGTTTTTGTGTTTCATGGATAATTTTTTTCGCTCACTGATAAAAATGTTTCTTCAGTTAAACATTATTTCTAAAAGTTTTCTGGTGCGATTCGTTGTATTGTTATTATTTTGTTTAAAATGGCTCACAATAACTACAATAATGATTACACATTCGGCGAAATGACGGACATGCACTTATGTTTTGGACTCGCTTCTGGAAATGCCAATGAAGCTCGCAGACTTTATCAGGAGCGCTTTCCAAATAGGCATCTTCCATGCGCTAAGACGTTTTCTAGAATTGACGATAGACTTCGGGAAACTGGTACATTTAAGAAAAACTCTAGTAACAGTGGAAGACAAAATTATGTGAGAACTCCTGCTTTGGAAGAAGCAATTTTGGATAGGGTAGCTGAAACCCCATCGACAAGTACCAGAAAAATAGCAAATGGTAAGTAATTACTTATTTATTATTTTAGCTACCCCGTACCTTATCGTATAAAACTAGTTTTTTTACTTGTTATTGCTTCTCTTACATTTCACGACTTTTCGTATCGAAAAGAGTTGCGTTATGCAGAAAAAATCTGATTTCCCAAATCAATGGATTCTCTTTCTTAACTATTCACTATACAGATTCTCTCATTTAATTTCAGAAGTGGGAGTCGGACGTAACACGGTATGGAAAGTTTTGCGTGAACAACAAGTGTACTCTTACCACATTCAAAAAGTTCAGGCACTTAAAGCTACTGATTATGAGCCGCGAGTTCTTTTCTGAATGGTTTCTTGGAAGATGTAATCAAGATGCAATGTTTCTTAATAAAGTGCTATTTACCGATGAAGCTGGTTTCACTAGAGATGGTATAATAAATTTTCGAAATATGCATGAATGGGCTGAAGATAACCCTCACGCGGTTGTTGAACGTCACCACCAGGATAAATTTTCAATAAACGTCTGGGCTGGAGTTATTGATAATTACCTTATTGGACCATTTGTTTTGCCGAATAGGTTAAATGGAGCAGCATACAGGCTTTTTTTGGAAAATAACTTACATGAGCTTCTTGATAATATTCCGATTCAAATCAGACATAACATGTGGTTTATGCATGATGGAGCTCCACCACATTACAGCCTTGAAGCTAGACAGCACCTTAACGAAAGATTTGAGGGTAGAGTAATTGGCAGAGGTTGTCCTGTTAACTGGCCACCTCGTTCACCAGATCTAAATCCAATGGATTTTTTTGTTTGAGGTTATTTAAAATCATTGGTTTATTCCAGTCCTGTTGAAACAGTTGAAGAATTGGAAGAACGAGTTTTTCATCATTGCGAAGTTCTTAGGAATAATCCTGAAGTATTTTTTCGTGTAAGACAGTCTATGATGCGACGGTTGCGCTTGTGTGTGGAAACCAATGGTCGCCACATTGAGCATCTGCTTTAATTTTTTTTGATTTGTTTTTTTAGAATAAATATTTTTTTAAACCGTTTCTTATTATTAAATAAAAATAGTCCCACCACGACATTTGAACTACAATTATTTAGAGAGAGCTAAAAAAGTAATTTTTATTTACGAGATTCACCGAGGTAATTTAGGAAAATTGAAAATTAAGCTAAAGTGGACGAATATCTTTGGATGATGTTTTCTCGGAAACGGCTGCTCCAATCGAGATCAAACAAGTATTCCTTTTTGACGTAGTTTTCAATGTAGAATGTAAAAAAAATATGGATAAGTCATTACCAAAAACACAAAAAAGTTATGAATAATCAAAATTTTCAAAAAATTCCCAAGTACACCCCTGACGAAATAATTTCTTTTTGAAGGTGTCAAAAGGTCACTATTATTGATCATATTTAACAGCCAAAATTTGGTTCTTTTATTTGTTTCCATTTTTAAGAAAATTCAAAAAATCAAAATAAAAAAAATGATTTTAAGAGGCTGTTGCTCGCTTAGGGGGCACTTTAGGACATAGGTCTATAGGAACTTTTTTTCCATTTTTTGGTTAAGGAATCTGCCTGAGAATTTTGGGACACATTTTAAAGGACACCCTGTATATTAAATAACAGTTTGGTTTTTGCACTGGCAAAGCAACGAGTGATGCTATGTGCACAGTTATTAAGGAAATTACAGAGGGTCTTAATAAAAAATGGAAAGCAGTTTTTCTGGATCTCGCTAAAGCATTTGACACTGTCAACCATAAAAAAATCCTATACATTCTGGAACGTTATGGTATTCGTTTCATAGTTTTGGATGTTTTTAAGAGTTACCTCATGAATTGGGAATAACTTTTTAAAGTTAGTGATACCCGGGATTGTAAAAATAGGTGTGCCTCAAGGTACCGTTCTTGGTCCTTATTATTTCTAAGATATAAATTATCTTTTTTTTTTTTTTTTAAGGTGAAGGGGGGAGAAAAAGTCCTTTATATCTCACAAGGAAAGTCCAATGTTTAAATCCCTAGTGGATGGAGAGTATGGCGAGCCTGAAGATGAAGTGATGTTACTTCGAAACCGGTCGCACTCAATGTTTTTGTTGAATAATTAAACATTGGACTTTCCTTGTGAGATATAAAGGACTTTTTCTCCCCCCTTCACCTTAAAATTACTTCAACTCACACATGGCTACCCCCCTTGTCAATATAAATTATCTCTTGTCATTAGTAACGAATACAACTATTGTATCCTACAAGGAAGACACTGTCGTGATATTTCATGAACACTCTTGGACAGAAACTAAAATGGCTGTTCAACAAGGTCTTACAAAAATTATGATGCGGCTAAATATGTACCAACTTTCATGAAATGTTAACAACACAAATTATCTCGCTTTTACCCTAACAGAAACAAATAGACCAGATTTTACTTGTATAAAACTCACTAATATGCAAGATAAAATTAATTAAACAAATGAAGTCAAGTACTTGGGTATAATAATTGATAAAAACCTAAAATGGGGTAACCATATAGATTATCTATCAAAAAAGGTGAGGAAGCTTATCCACAAATTTTATCAAATACGAGAATTCCTTTCAAGAAAATTGTTATTACTAATAAACAAGTCTCTAGCCGAATCACTTTTTCATTATGGTATCTGTATATGGGGAGGAATGTACAGGAATTCACTACACTAAATATTACACAAAACTACATATTAAAAATTATACTTAAAGAACAAAAAAGATATCACACAAATCTAATATATTCTGAAGATGTATGCAATATCCAAACATTATATTTTCAAAGTTTGTGTATATGTATATGCTTTCAAAAACAAATTATTCAAGAATAATAATACCTACTGTATATCAAATCCGTAGTGCTGCTAATGAGTTCTTATCATCCCAAAGATTCAATAAAAATATTTGTCTTAGATTCTTTGTTCATACCAAAGCATGCAATCTGTTACCAAGGGAGATTAGGCTTATCACTAAAAAACGTTTTTCAGCTGAATCCAGATAATTTATTTTTCAAAATTACATTGATTTTGTTAAAATTTTAGAAAAAACATTACATTTTATAGTGCTCATTCATGTAAAAAAAAATGTTTACTAAATATTAAATATGTGTTATAAATTTATCGAGTTGCACAACACAAGTGTTCAATCAATTAGGTGCACAACCCTGCATTTTTTTATTATTATTATTATCATAATTTGCCTTTATATATTTTAAAATTGTTAATTAATATTTCACAATCAGTCATTTAAGAAAATTAGTATTTTAAAATCGAGAGTGTATAGTTTTGCAACATTTGTATTTGTATTATTATATTTGTATTGTATACACAACATAAACATCACATACGGATACACACATAGGACAACGGAAGGTATAAAATGAGCACACAGACTTGCTAATAAGGCACACAACTACCCCACAAAAAAAATACAATACAGAGACAAAATAGACACACACAAGACCATAACATTATGGCAAGACACATGGACTATGATATCATAAAGACAGTATGCCACAAATACTTAAAACAGAAACATAAATTTATACCTGAACAGGTTCCACTTACAAGACACAGATGGCACTTACAACATCGACAATGAAATTGAAGACACCAGAGACATTACATATGACTGTAATGGACACAACAGACAAATAGCCAGGTCAAGACTCAGACGAAGACTTAATGATATACCACAAGACCTAAACTCGACAGACACAGACCTGGTCAACTGGGTTCATGAATGGACAGACGAACTAATACTGGATGACGAACTCAGGGGAGTAGCCACAAGAGGGCGCACAAACTGTGGTTTGATCTCTTGAATTCCATGGCCACAAAAAAATTAAATACTGCGTATTTTGGATAAAATAATTTCAATATTTATTCATTATTAATATTTCATTCGGATGTTCTTCGTGAAACACATTCTCATATGATTTTTCTTTACAGGTAAAATTTAATCACTAAAAACCTGTATATCTTGCGCGATTTGTATTTTTGTAGTTATTTAATTTATCCAGATGTTCTGGTAAACACAATGTATATATTTATTTATCTTTCAGGTATAAATGTAACAAAACAAGTTGTATCTTTTGTTGTACTTTTGTCATTTAATTTAGTTGTATTTTGTTTTAAATAAAGGAGAAAAAAGGTCTGGCCTTGCTAATTTTAAGGAGTGAGGAGTTGGGATGAACGAATTGGGAAAAAACATGCCCGGCTTTAGCCGGACGTCTGGCAACCCTAATCATTTGGTTTCATTCTTCTTGTCTCAATCAATAATCTAGCGAACATTTTTTTAGGCTTCTTATTGAACAAGTTGAAGGGCAGCAGAATGTAACTTAAAAAATAAGAAACCGACCAAATATCTTCAAGAAAAAGGCAACAGAAATTTGAAATTTACAAAAGAAGACATTAAGCCAATGATAGGTATACTTATAGGAATTTGAAAACATCTATTTTTCAAAAATTTATAGAACAATCAAATTTCAATTTTAGGTAGATAACAGAGATATAAATATGTTCACAATCCAATTAAAACAATTCAGAAACCACATTGAAGTAGAACGGGGACAAAGGTTGGAAAGGCTTTTGATAGGGGGAGACATGGTAAACGTCAAACCCCCTCAGATGACTAGAGAATTTTCTGATATTTATCTGCCAGTGTCATATCCTAAAATAAGTAATTTTAAATTATCAGCGGAACCGGGCAATCCTAACGGGTGTGAAGTTATCCACATCCACAAATGTACACTGAGAAAAATATAACTCTATCGTAATAGTCATATAACTTGGTTCAAATTACCTGTAGAGGCTTTTCATTTGTATATTTCAATTGGGGAGGTTTCAATACACAGCAACCATACCCGCAATTAACTTTTGCTTTGTCTCAGGGGGTGCAATTGGGGGTGAAATTTAAAAAAAATCATAGAAGCCACAAATGGCTTTGTACACCTTTCTGCTTGGGATATGTTATCTAGTTTACTCTTTTCTTCATTCCTGATACCATGCTGGAGTTTGTCGAGCCGTCTGAGGGGGTGCAATTGGGGATGAAATTAAAAAAAAAAACATAAAAGCCACAAATAGCTTTGTACACCTTTCTGCTTGGGATATGTTATGTAATTTTCTCTTTTTTTCATCCATGATAGCATGCTGGAGTTTGTCGAGTCGTCTGAGGGGGTGCAATTAGGGGTGAAATAAAAAAATCATAGAAGCCACAAATGGCTTTGTACACCTTTCTGCAAGCGATATGTTATGTAATTTGCTTTTTTCTTTCTCCCAGATACCATGCTGGAGTTTGTCGAGCCGTCTGAGGGGGTGCAATTGGGGATGAAATTAAAAAAAAAAATCACAGAAGCCACAAATGGCTTTGTACACCTTTTTACTTGAGATATGTTATGAAGATAGCTATTTCCTTTATGCCTGATACCATGCTGGAGTGTCGAGCCGTCTGAGGGGGTGCAATTGGGGGTGAAATTAAACAAAAAATCATAGAAGCCACAACTGGCTTTGTACACCTTTCTGCTTGGGATATGTTATGTAGTTTGCTCTTTTCTTCATCCCTGATAGCATGCTGGAGTTTGTCGAGCCGTCTGAGGGGGTGCAATTGGGGATGAAATTTAAAAAAAAATCACAGAAGCCACAAATGGCTTTGTACACCTTTTTACTTGAGATATGTTATGAAGATAGCTATTTTCTTTATGCCTGATACCATGCTGGAGTTTTTCGGGCCGTCTGAGGGGGTGCAATTGGGGGTGAAATTAAATAAAAAATCACAGAAGCCACAACTGCCTTTGTACACCTTTCTGCTTGGGATATGTTATGTAGTTTGCTCTTTTCTTCATCCCTGATAGCATGCTGGAGTTTGTCGAGCCGTCTGAGGAGGTGTAATTGGGGATGAAATTTAAAAAAAAATCACAGAAGCCACAAATGGCTTTGTACACCTTTTTACTTGAGATATGTTATGAAGATAGCTATTTTCTTTATGCCTGATACCATGCTGGAGTTTGTCGGGCCGTCTGAGGGGGTGCAATTGGGGGTGAAATTAAACAAAAAATCATAGAAGCCACTACTGGCTTTGTACACCTTTCTGCTTGGGATATGTTATGTAGTTTGCTCTTTTCTTCATCCCTGATAGCATGCTGGAGTTTGTCGAGCCGTCTGAGGGGGTGCAATTGAAGATGAAATTAAAAAAAAATCACAAAAGCCACAAATGGCTTTGTACACCTTTTTACTTGAGATATGTTATGAAGATAGCTATTTTCTTTATGCCTGATACCATGCTGGAGTTTGTCGAGCCGTCTGAGGGGATGCAATTGGGGGCGAAATTAAACAGAAAATCATAGAAGCCACAACTGGCTTCGTACACCTTTCTTCTTGGGATATGTTATGTAGTTTGCTCTTTTCTTCATCCCTGATAGCATGCTGGAGTTTGTCGAGCCGTCTGAGGGGGTGCAATTGGGGATGAAATTAAAAAAAAATCACAGAAGCCACAAATGGCTTTGTACACCTTTTTACTTGAGATATGTTATGAAGATAGCTATTTTCTTTATGCCTGATACCATGCTGGAGTTTGTCGAACCGTCTGAGGGGGTGCAATTGGGTGTGAAATTAAACAAAAAATCATAGAAGTCACAACTGGCTTTGTACACCTTTCTGCTTGGGATATGTTATGTAGTTTGCTCTTTTCTTCATCCCTGATAGCATGCTGGAGTTTGTCGAGCTCTCTAAGGGATGAATAAAAGAGCAAACTACATAACATATCCCAAGCCGAAAGGTGTACAAAGCCATTTGTCGCTTTTATCATTTTTTGTTAAATTTCAACCCCAATTGCACTCCCTCAGACGGCTCGACAAATTCCAGCATGTTATCAGGGATAAAGAAAAGAGCAAACTACATAACATATTCCAAGCAGAAAGGTGTACAAAGCCATTTGTGGCTTCTATGATTTTTTATTTAATTTGACCCCCAATTGCACCCCCTCAGACGGCTCGACAAACTCCAGCATGGTATTAGGCATAAAGAAAATAGCTATCTTCATAACATCAAGTAAAAAGGTGTACAAAGCTATTTGTGGCTTCTGTGATTTTTTTTTAATTTCATCCCCAATTGCACCCTCTCAGACGGCTCGACAAACTCCAGCATGGTATCAGGCATAAAGCAAATAGACGGGTGTGAAGTTATCCACATCCACAAATGTACACTGAGAAAAATATAACTCTATCGTAATAGTCATATAACTTGGTTCAAATTACCTGTAGAGGCTTTTCATTTGTATATTTCAATTGGGGAGGTTTCAATACACAGCAACCATACCCGCAATTAACTTTTGCTTTGTCTCAGGGGGTGCAATTGGGGGTGAAATTTAAAAAAAATCATAGAAGCCACAAATGGCTTTGTACACCTTTCTGCTTGGGATATGTTATCTAGTTTACTCTTTTCTTCATTCCTGATACCATGCTGGAGTTTGTCGAGCCGTCTGAGGGGGTGCAATTGGGGATGAAATTAAAAAAAAAACATAAAAGCCACAAATAGCTTTGTACACCTTTCTGCTTGGGATATGTTATGTAATTTTCTCTTTTTTTCATCCATGATAGCATGCTGGAGTTTGTCGAGTCGTCTGAGGGGGTGCAATTAGGGGTGAAATAAAAAAATCATAGAAGCCACAAATGGCTTTGTACACCTTTCTGCAAGCGATATGTTATGTAATTTGCTTTTTTCTTTCTCCCAGATACCATGCTGGAGTTTGTCGAGCCGTCTGAGGGGGTGCAATTGGGGATGAAATTAAAAAAAAAAATCACAGAAGCCACAAATGGCTTTGTACACCTTTTTACTTGAGATATGTTATGAAGATAGCTATTTCCTTTATGCCTGATACCATGCTGGAGTGTCGAGCCGTCTGAGGGGGTGCAATTGGGGGTAAAATTAAACAAAAAATCATAGAAGCCACAACTGGCTTTGTACACCTTTCTGCTTGGGATATGTTATGTAGTTTGCTCTTTTCTTCATCCCTGATAGCATGCTGGAGTTTGTCGAGCCGTCTGAGGGGGTGCAATTGGGGATGAAATTTAAAAAAAAATCACAGAAGCCACAAATGGCTTTGTACACCTTTTTACTTGAGATATGTTATGAAGATAGCTATTTTCTTTATGCCTGATACCATGCTGGAGTTTTTCGGGCCGTCTGAGGGGGTGCAATTGGGGGTGAAATTAAATAAAAAATCACAGAAGCCACAACTGCCTTTGTACACCTTTCTGCTTGGGATATGTTATGTAGTTTGCTCTTTTCTTCATCCCTGATAGCATGCTGGAGTTTGTCGAGCCGTCTGAGGAGGTGTAATTGGGGATGAAATTTAAAAAAAAATCACAGAAGCCACAAATGGCTTTGTACACCTTTTTACTTGAGATATGTTATGAAGATAGCTATTTTCTTTATGCCTGATACCATGCTGGAGTTTGTCGGGCCGTCTGAGGGGGTGCAATTGGGGGTGAAATTAAACAAAAAATCATAGAAGCCACTACTGGCTTTGTACACCTTTCTGCTTGGGATATGTTATGTAGTTTGCTCTTTTCTTCATCCCTGATAGCATGCTGGAGTTTGTCGAGCCGTCTGAGGGGGTGCAATTGAAGATGAAATTAAAAAAAAATCACAAAAGCCACAAATGGCTTTGTACACCTTTTTACTTGAGATATGTTATGAAGATAGCTATTTTCTTTATGCCTGATACCATGCTGGAGTTTGTCGAGCCGTCTGAGGGGATGCAATTGGGGGCGAAATTAAACAGAAAATCATAGAAGCCACAACTGGCTTCGTACACCTTTCTTCTTGGGATATGTTATGTAGTTTGCTCTTTTCTTCATCCCTGATAGCATGCTGGAGTTTGTCGAGCCGTCTGAGGGGGTGCAATTGGGGATGAAATTAAAAAAAAATCACAGAAGCCACAAATGGCTTTGTACACCTTTTTACTTGAGATATGTTATGAAGATAGCTATTTTCTTTATGCCTGATACCATGCTGGAGTTTGTCGAACCGTCTGAGGGGGTGCAATTGGGTGTGAAATTAAACAAAAAATCATAGAAGTCACAACTGGCTTTGTACACCTTTCTGCTTGGGATATGTTATGTAGTTTGCTCTTTTCTTCATCCCTGATAGCATGCTGGAGTTTGTCGAGCTCTCTAAGGGATGAATAAAAGAGCAAACTACATAACATATCCCAAGCCGAAAGGTGTACAAAGCCATTTGTCGCTTTTATCATTTTTTGTTAAATTTCAACCCCAATTGCACTCCCTCAGACGGCTCGACAAATTCCAGCATGTTATCAGGCATAAAGAAAAGAGCAAACTACATAACATATTCCAAGCAGAAAGGTGTACAAAGCCATTTGTGGCTTCTATGATTTTTTATTTAATTTGACCCCCAATTGCACCCCC